CAGAAGCAAAATAAAAAAATCCCTTAGCCATCTGCGATTTTCCCTATATTTCCTAGTGGTTTCGTCTAATCATATCACAAAATATCCTAAACTTTTTCTTTTTATAGCAGAAAATATCCTAAACTTTGTTTTTATTTTGTTATTTTTTTTAGTACAAGCGATTGGAGAAGGGGAGTTACACACAAATATTCGTTGTGGTCTGGGGGTTTCGAAACTCTGCCCGTATGACTGGAGGATTAAGAGCTCAACCAATTAAGCTATATCCAACTGGCTTTATTTTGTCATTTTTAATTTATGAGAACTAGAAATCATCAACTAGTAATGGGGTTGATCTAATGAAAGCACGTCAGCTTTAATTCGTCACCCATACACAAGCAGAGAGAGAGCCCTGCCCTTTTTTTTTTTTTTTTTGTTAATAAATTTAGTTTTTGAACCTTCATTTTTTTGTCTTTAATCGAAATTTCATGGAAGATCAGTGGAAATAATTAGTTACTTGACTTTCTTGGTTACAACCTCTTGAAGCAAAGAATATTGTAGGTCTTACAAAATGTGCTGACCTCCTTTTGTATCCTAAGCTGGCTGTAACTTTTTGAGTCTGTCTCAATTTCATACAGCGGTCGCCCAAGGAAAGCAGTGAATGGATGACTATTGAGCCTTTCCTTCTTTTTCTTTTTGGTTGCGTCAAATGATAAAATTAAAGTTTACATTTGCTCATCATGTAGGTGGTAACCAACAAAGGTCTATCATCTATTGGTAGATGATTTAGGGTTGGGGCCATTTTGCTTTTCCAAAAGTTCATGGTTCAGAAATTCGTGTTACCGTAGTCTCTACCAAATTTTAGTCATCGAATTATGTAACAGGTCGAGGATATATTAGTGGTACACAATATAAACAAATCAAACATATATTCACGTTAGTTCAAATCTAATGGCTGGTTTGGTAACATTTTAATTTTTAGTTTTCATTTTCCTTTATCAGAGATAGAGAGGAAATATATGGAGGAAAAGTTAAATGAAGAGCGTGAGAGAGAGAGTTAGAAATGAAAGAGAATGAATTAAACAAAAACTTGAAAAATGTAAAATTATTTTTAGTTTTTTCATTTTACATAGCATTCCATACACATTTCTTCACCCCTTTCTCTCACATATTTCATCTCTATCTCTAATCAAAAACTGAAAAATTAATAATAATAAAAATGAAAAATGAAAAGGTTACCAAACAGGTTCTGGGATTTGGTTTTTTTCTAAAAAGTTTCAATCTGTCATCTAATTGCTGTGTTTATAGCCAAGAGCAAACAATTAGAACAAACGGTACCAGATATTGGGAGATTCTGCTTTCCAAAGCACAAAAGTTACCATTGTTAGAATAAAATACATGTAGTAAATTTATGGTGCATGCACCCAAAACACTAATTGCAGCAGTCATGGGGGAAAAGCCAGACTTGGAAGTATACAAGGAAATGAGAGCATATGTGTTTCCATTTGAATGAGTCTTGCCACAAAAATATATAGTTTCCCAATCAATTCTCAGAGGTCTCACAAAGACCAACAAACAACACACTTGAACCTAAACTCCGCTAATTAATCTGACACATCATGATAAAAAAAAAAAAAAAAAAAAAAAAAAAAAAAAAAAAAAAAAAAGACTCTAGAGTCTTACATACATATGAAACCATCCAAAAGTGTCTTTTTCTTCTTCTGCTGTGAATCTTCCAAGTCTTGAAGAGACCAAAGTTTATACACAACTTTAGACTCAGGACTGAAAATGAAATAAAATGGTTTCAAGAATCATATATTTTATTGTGTAAGACATGAAGATCAAACAAAATGGGAAAGAAGAATATGGTTGGTTAACTTATGATCATCATTGGATCATTGACTTCTTTTTGCAGAGTCTTGTAGAATATACCTTATATATTTAGCTACTCCCCCTAGATCTCTCTAATTTAATCCAACCATATGTTTTGGACACACAAACAAGGCTTCTTTTAACTCACCTGATCCTGAGACCATATAGCTTCAGTAAAATATGAGTCTCAGAAAACTGGCGCTCCACTTACTGACACCAGGTTGTTTCAAAACCAACAAACCAATCTCAGATCAAAAATCCCAGACGTCGAAAGAAATCTATTCGCGGAGATTGTCACTCTCCGATGTGAGTAATTCATCAATCTGCACTGTCCTCAGTGATCTGTCAAATTCACTTATTGGATCAAACCTTCATATCTTTACACAGAAGGAACTCAAAAAGATTACCCAAAACTTCTCTAAGAGCAACTATCTTGATGAAGGTGGGTTTGGGAAGGTATACAAAGGGTTCGTTGATGACAAGCTTAGGCCTGGGTTGGAAGCTCAACCTGTGGCTGTTAAGGTGTTGGATTTAGATGGCAAACAAGGACATCGGGAGTGGCTGGTAAGCTTTTTGTTTTTGTTCTTGCTTTTTTTAGCCCATTTCAAATTTTATGTTGCTAACAATATCATATGCTTCCTAAGTTATAAAAATGCTAATTCTCAAACACTTCTGTGTTTGTAGGCTGAAGTGATTTTTCTTGGGCAATTGAAGCACCCCAATCTTGTTAACTTGATCGGCTACTGCTGCGAAGACGAACATAGGCTTCTTGTGTATGAGTACATGGAGAGGGGCAACCTAGAAAATCGACTATTCAAATGTAAATATACCATCTGCTAACATTTAACTGCAAATAATTAAGATCATGCATGCAGGATTTTTGTTTTGAAACAATCAGAAAATATTGATTTGGGAGTTCACAATTTTACTAGCAGGATGACAGAACCTATGAATTTGTATGTCTGTTCATTAATGCAGGTTATGGTGGAACCCTGCCTTGGTTAACAAGAATAAAAATAGCAATTGGAGCTGCAAAAGGCCTCAGCAGCCTCCATGAAGAAGAAAAGCAAGTCATATATCGAGATTTTAAGGCTTCAAACATCTTACTAGACTCTGTAATTTCTCTCCTTAGCTCTCTTCTGCGCTTAATACAAGCATATAAATATGGCTCATACAAAACAAAAGAAGTTCCAGAAAAAATTGAGTACTAATATCTTTCTTTTTCTCCCCAGGATTACACAGCCAAGCTCTCTGATTTCGGTCTAGCCATAGATGGCCCGGAAGGAGATGAAACGCACATTACAACGTGTGTCATGGGCACTCATGGCTATGCAGCTCCAGAATATGTCAAGACAGGTAATGCAGTTTGATTTTAAGCTACTACTTTCATTCCTTCTTTTCATCAGTGGCCTTGAAAATTTCCACAGCTCACTAATCATATACACTCTTTTTTTCCAGGTCATTTAACGACTATGAGCGATGTCTATAGCTTCGGTGTAGTTCTTTTGGAGCTACTAACAGGTAGAAGGTCCGTGGATGAGAGCCGCCATGGTAGAGAACAGAACCTGGTGGAGTGGTCTAAACCATTTTTGAAGGACTCACATAAACTTGACCGTGTGATGGACCCGGGACTCGAGGGTCAGTACTCAACCGAAGGTGCTAGGAAAGCAGCTGCATTAGCTCATCAGTGCCTTAGCCATAACCCCAAGTGTAGACCAACAATGAGCACTGTGGTCAAGACCTTAGAGCTTCTGATGGATTTGAATGACATTCCAATTGGACCTTTTGTGTACGTTGTTCCAACTGAGGAAAAAAACAAAGTTCCAGTGTATAAGATTGAAAGAGAGGGTCAAGCTGAGTGTGAAGTGGTGAAAAATGGGAAAAATGGTGAGGAAAAAGAGGTGGAAGTGAAAGCGAAGGGTCGCCACAGGAGCCGAAAAGGTAATCGGTATAGAAATCGGATTAAGTCATTGAGGTCTAGCACTGTTTATTCTGATACAGCTCTGTATAGAATTCTTGGAACTGGTTTATACTCTCCCAAATTAGCACTCGAGACAATTAGGAAAACAAACAGAGAAGAAGAAAAGAAAAACTATAAGCATATATGTGTACCATAATACATTAGGGTTGTTTTATTTGTTGCACTTTGTTGGAGATCTTCCCTTGTGTATGATGTTCATGTGGGGTCTTTGGATTCAGTGTTTTTGTACCTTCTCTTACATTATTACAAGATACACAAGTACTTTGAGACAACTCTGTCTTTCTCAGAACACTCTGTTTTCAATTTTCTATGCTTTCCCATAAAATGAGTTTTTCCTTTAAATGGAAAAAAATGTTTATTTCAAACTATGAAGTCATAGAAAGAATAAAAGATGATCTTGTTTAAATTATTTATGGCCTCATGTTGGTGGATTGATCAAACCCTATACTATTCTAATCTTCCATTAGATTCTCGAGTGCAAATAATGTATTCAATATTCCAAGTCAATTTCCATGAATATTTCTTCTTTTGTTTTGTGTTCAAAATCAGCTCAAACGGCATGGTGCACCAATCAAAGGTTTGAACAAACCACCCAGCAGATTCGGGGCCAGCCTCATATTTCAACACTTGCACCAAACCCCACCCAAATCCCAAGTTGGCCTAAATCACAAGTTACGTGCTGATGTAACTGAAGAATTTGCGATTGCCTATGACTATAACAAAAAGTGGGTCCCCTCCAATTCAAGGATTTGCAGAAAGGATCATGCATACCCAATTCAAACCAAGTATGGTTAGATAAGGACTTGGGATGCATAAATGCAATGCAAATTTTAACCAAATTTTTAGTGGGAGAAGGCAAAAACTAGGTTTAGCTTGAAGATAAAACCATGTGATAATGTAAATATAAAAAACTCCATCCATGGTTGGAGCCAAAGATACAATTAAGTTTCTAAAACAAGTCTATATCTGCAGTGCTGTATATAGCTACATCTCTTCATATATTACCAAAGATGAAGCTCTTTTTCCTCCACTCTATGACATTTCGGGTTGATACAACACAACTGTTTCTCATTGTAACGTCTTACTGCTTAAATCTCCAGGAGGTGAAACACTTGAGCATCCAGATCGAAACAAACTAGTCGAGGGTAAAAATTCGGGGGCTTAAGTGTGATCAAGACTTAACTGTTCTGTCATTTTCGTCGCACACCCAGTCTGCATGATATTTTTCATCATATGGAACAACCCCCCCATCAACCAAAGGTTCTCCTGTCCAAAACCAATGCATTTAGACAAGGACGGATCACCTATGGAATTTTCTCTTCTTGGAAACAAGAATCAAACTTCATTTTCCTACTGAAATGAACCAAGTCATTGTGGCTTGAGATTACCTTGATGAGTCTACATGGTATTATGATGAGTAGGGCTTACATTCTAATTCTACTTGATGAGTTATGACTTGGGATTTATTTGCAATGAATCATACCAATATCAATAATCTTTCAAAATCCATATTTTTCAATGTTCTCTTCTTATCTCTTAAAAACATCATTGTTCATGAATCATGTAGGTGTAGCTTCCACTTTAGATATTAAAAGAATCTAGCTCAACATGAAGAAATGAAGATAGACCAAGAAAAAAAAATACCTCCATAGTCATTTTCACCATGACACAAGTAAGAATCTGGTAGAACCCATTTCACATTGGGCAGAGCTGCAACCAATTTTGTTTTTTCAAAACCAAATTAAAAACTTTAAATAATAATAATAATAATAGAATAGAATAGAAGAGTTTTGAAGAATTTACATTTGATCTTAAAAGTCAATTTCTCTGGGACTTTGCAGCCAAATGCGTAGTAGTACTTTGTAGAAACAGAGTAAATTGACTTCCTTGCCTTCTCTGCACTGCAATTATACAGCAAACTAGTTGAAAAAACAAATGCAAAATATAAATAAATAAATAAAAAATAACTGCTACATTTCAAACACTTCAAGCAGAAATAATTAACACTAATTCAAGTTTCAAACTTTGCAACTTAAAACGCTAACCCTGATGGCGTTTTGTCAGTTTTTACCTTCCGAGGGCCGTGGCTAGGGTTTGGATGTAGCCATTGATGATCTCATCGCGAAGAGGGTAGCCCTTAGGAGGCTCCATAACCACAAGCCAGTGCTCGTAGTCGCAGCCCTCCACCAGCGACGCCAACCGAGTCAACCCGCTGCACCGAGTCGCCGCCGAGCTGTCCGCTGCGGCGGAGCCTATCGGAGCTGAAGAGGAAGAGAAGCGCGAAGATGGAAACGACGGCGGACTTGAGAAACGGTAACGGCGGAGTAGTGTCGCCGTTAGACTTAACGGCTTTCTCACAATGCTTGATCTCATTCCCGGTATGTCGTTTTACTCTCGTTTGTGCGCGCGCACTAGGCCCCCTCTTTTAAGTTACGACGTGTCATGTATGGGCTGGCCCAATGTATATCTTTGGGCCTACTAACTATATGTGGGCTTCTAATTGTGATGAGCAATGGGTTCATTTTGGGTTCTAGTGCCAATGACCACATTTCATTAATTTGTATCGTGTTGATTTATGCCTGGAATTTGTTAGATGAGTCCTTCTATAGTAAGGTCGTGAGATGATGTCCTATTCCTTAATCGTTGGATTAAACTAATCAATTCGATCAACTGCTAATTAATTTGATCCAACTGTTAGACATCTTACGTTGGAAAAATAGCATATTTCGGGATGATTTAAGGGTTTCTTATAAGCTGGTTTTGAACGGACAAGTTATACTCATGTCATGACTATAATCAATTGGTATCAAATCCTAATTTTGCTACACAATTATTTAAGGAATGCGTGACTTAGAGTTAGTACCAGGTCCGTGTCAATAAAGTGGGCCAGCATGACTTAGGGTTGGTACCAAGTCCGTATCAATAGAGTGGGCCAGCATAAACGTGAAGCATAGAAGCGGGGTAAGTAGCTCACGGCCACATCCTTACAAACTGGTGTTAGATAATATGAAAAAAAGAGGGACGTTGATATGACTTTTGAAAAAATGCACATTTTAGGCTTCAGCATGCAAACGCATGACCTGGTCTTTCGGGGTTATGATATTGATACTTTATCCGTGTGAGATGTGAGTTTGATGCCGTTGTCATTGCCTTCCACATGATCCTGGGTAATAGCTGTGTTCGCTGAAAACCATGGTTGCTATGCTGAGATTCTCAAAAGTCTTGTATGGTGTGAGGCCATCTCCAACCCAAATGGGGCTAAACCTAAATTTCTCCCCTTAGAAATACAACTATTCATGTATTGCCCGGACTCAAATTATTATTTTCTCCAATCATGCATACTCATAATTTGAGTCCATAACTTTATTAAATTGTTTAAAAATGATTAACCTCTATATTTATTTTTTTTGGGGTTAATTTTTCTTCACATTATTTTTATTTCAACATTCATGATTTAATTTTATGAACATTTTAACCTAAAAAATCCAAAATCCAAAACATAATATAATTTCACTTAAAAATCAAAACATATTAAGATAAACCATAATTACAATTAAGATAAATGATAATCACAAAATTATTTTGGGTTGAATTTGATTTAGAGTAATTATAAAAATTAATTTAGCCGTTGGATTTAACTTTCAGCCATTGGATGTGAATTTTTCCCATTGAGATTGCTTAAAAATATGCTGGCCATTGATTATATGTAGAATGAAAAAACAAAAAAAAACAAATTGACACAGCAACTTAATGCAGCCATTGGATTGAAACATATAATTGTTCAGGGCTTGACAAGTGGCGCAAGCAGCATGGGTAAGTTGGCAACAAGCAGCATGTAGCTGGGGTCTTCACGTGGCTGCTTGGTTTGATGCGAGTTGGGCCCCACAGCAGTTCCGCCTGGACTGCAAAGCTGGGCCAAATAGCGGCCAAGATTTCAGTCCGCCTAAAATTCCCCCCCTCCCTATACTATACATGCGTTGGAGATGAAATGGGGCCAAATTTTGAGATTTTTTTGGGTTTAGCCCCAGGGTTGGAGAAGGCCTGACAAGATAAGTTTTGCAACTACAGTAACCTTTACAAAGTTGGCTTTTAGTGGAGGGCCCGCCCAATTAGGGGACAAACTTGAGGTAAGTTGTCGTCGCATCTATTAAATTAAGTGATCTCTTCTTCTCTAGGATTGAGATATGTTTATTATAGTTGTATTTATATACAGTGAATCAGCAATAAAAATCATTAGTCTGAATCATATTATTATCTTTCATCAATTATTCCTTTATTTAATCTAAGATGGCCCCCATATTTAATCTAAAATGGTTGGTTGGTTGGTTGGTTGGTTGGTTGGTTAGTTCATGGCAATTGGTTTGAAGCAGAAGTAAAGGTGTAAAATTTACCATGTCCACAGAGGAGGAGAAAATGGAAAGAACAGGAAATTACAATAAGAGCCTCTGGATTTTGATCACACACATCACAATTTTACAATAGTGCTAATTTATTTTGTAGTAAAACTTAGCATCCCAATAGTAATTATTCAGAGGAAAGAAGAGAAGTAACTGAAACTAGGACAAAAATCAGAGTGAGTAAACGTGAGGTGGAAGACGAGGTTCACAGACTGCAACAAGAGGATACTTCTTTGGAGTTGAAAGCCCAAAAATTTCCTCCATGTTCAAATCCTCCTCCTTCAAGTTGTCAGGCAATCTCCATGTAAACCCATGTAGGAGATTGGCCAGGCTTGCCTGGATCACCTTGATGCCAAGGCTGTAGCCAGGGCACATCCTCCTGCCTGACCCAAATGGGAGCAGCTCAAAGTCCTGGCCTTTGACATCAATGTCCTTGCCAAGGAACCTGTCAGGGAAAAACTCTTCTGGGTTGTCCCAAAGTTGAGGGTCTCTTCCGATGGCCCAGACACTTACTAGGATTCTGGTGCCCTTGGGGATGTCATAGCCAGCAACTTGGCAGTCTTCTCGGGCTAGTCTTGGCACCAACATGGGTGCCACTGGGTGCAGCCTCATGGTTTCCTTGGCAATGGCATCAACATAGGGTAAGTTGACAATGTCATTCTCTTCAACCCATCTCTCTCTTCCAATCACCCTGTCTAGCTCCTCTGTTGCCTTCTTGAAAACCTCCGGCTTCTTTAGCAGCTCTGAAATTGCCCATTCGACGGTCACCGCTGAGCTCTCCGTTCCACCGGCAATTAGGTCCTAATAGAATCCATCAATCAACAAAAGCGTGAGTAAGATGAGTAAAACCCAAAAAAACCAAAAAGTTTTCAATCCCAAATAAGCGCGTAATTGTGAGCCGTTAATGCATGTAAGACTCACACAAATCAACGGCTCGTTGTCGTTGACTCGAGAGTAGATGACAAAGCCTAAAATTCATCCTAACACATGAGACACTAAAAATGACATGTGACATCAACGAGAGTTTTGGAAAATTTTAATGCTTCTAGCATTATTGCATAAAAGAATTAATCATACTTGGGTGAAGGCCTTGACCCCATGTCTTTCAAGTTTAACTTCAAGGTCAGGATCATCAGCAAGTTGCAGAAGCACATCAACCATATCTTTTGCAACGAAGTCTTCACCACCTGCCTTCCTCTTTGCAATATGTTCATCCAACACATGCTCCAAGAACCTATCCAACTTCTTGCTCAAAGCCTTCATTCTCTTTATGTACCCTTGCAAGTCCAAGAAATCAAGCCACGGTATTGAGTCACCAATATTCAACACCCCGCTCAGCAAGAAGAGCTCATCCAACATCTTCTTGAACTCATCGGGGCTCACGATCGAGTCTTCCGACTCGTCCGTGTACTTCTTTCCGAGCACCATGCGGCTTATAACATTAAGACTCACAGTTGAAAGGTGATCTTTCAGCAAAATGTTGGTGTTGGAGGACTCAAATAAGCCTCTGAGCAATGCGTTCATCTCCTCCTTTCTGATATATTCATATGATTCTAGGCGTTTGGCACTGAAAAGCTCCATTATGCACATTTTACGGGCCTGGCGCCAATATGGGCCGTAAGGGGACCAAGTAATGTCCGAGTAGTTGTATGTGGTGTGCTTACCGGCTGCGAATTTGGGTCGTCCGGCGAAGTTAACGTCGTGGGTTTTCAGGAAGGCCTTAGCCATGTCAACCGAAGAGCCCACGACAACCGGGTGGGACCCAAACTTGAGCTGCATGATGGGCCCCATATTTGTGGGCGAGTGCATGGATAGACCGGTGGGGAAGTTGGCTTATGAGGTTGAGGTTTCCAATGATGGGCCAGGGTTTTGGACCGGGCGGCAAATTGAGCTTGCGGTGGCGGAGGCGGCGGGAGAGGAGGATGAGAGCTAGTGCTCCCAGCCATGCGGCAGCGTATGCAACCCAAGAAATGGATTCCATTATTGTGGAACTTGTTGTGTAGTGGGTTTGCGTGGTATAGTGTTTGATGTGTGTTTTGAGGTGGTGGGAGGGGGGATTTATAATTGAAAGAAGTCAGGGCACAAGTGGACCCACTTTGAATATTTTAATATCAAACAGTTTTTTTATCGTCGATATCCTTGATTTCAACTACACTTGATTCACGCTTTAGTTTGATTATAAATTGACCATGTTGTCCTTATGCATCTTTGGTTTTTGTACTAAAGAAAGACCCGTTAGTCAATGGTTACTCTTTTCATACGGCAAGGTAAGCATTTTCGTGTGAAGCTTGTAACTCAAGTGGTTGCGCATTTATTCACATCAAACTCAAAATTAGAATTTGGCTGTGGCCTTGTGGTTGAATCAAATAATATTTATAAGTCGTTGGTGGTTTTTTTAAGGCCAACTTGATAATTTGAATGAAATTTACTTGAAAATAAAGGGCATTTTGGAGAGGATACTTGGTCAATGATCAATATGCTTAGTGAAAAGAAAGACCCTCTCTTAGTCTTTGGTGAAATTAGTACGAAACCCACCAAAAGCAAAACAAGAAAAACAAAAAAGGAAAAGTATATTTTCTGAGTTGGTGGTTGGGAAAAGTTTGAAGGACTTGACCATTGACTTGCTTTGGAAAATCACTTTAATTTCTTCTGAATTTCCTCGAAAATTTTGGAAATATGTTGGCTCATCGCAGATGCACGCACACTATTTTTCTTAAATACTTGGCACGTGTCCATAGCATAATCATGGTTAATTTTTTACTTTAATTTATGTAACTATGATTATATTTGTAGACATGTATCAAATATTGAGAAAGATAATGAACATACATATTTAATTAAAGTGGTGAGTAAAAATACTCCCGAAAAATTGAGATCATTAGATCCAAAGCACAATTGAATAATGGGTTTTTAATTTTTATTTATTTATAAAGTAGACATTTCAATCAATGGTTAGTAGACTCAATCAAAACAGTATTAAATGTGCCACGTCAAACAATAATTTTGTACTCGCTCGTTTTTCTTGAGCTCTCTTTTTCTTTTCTTTTCTTTTTTTGGAGCTCCATGCATGATAATTCAGATTTTATATAGTAAGTTGAAAGTTGCAGCAAACAATTATATAGAATTAAGTACATCAAGATCAAAGGCAAATCACGTAACACATAGCGTGTGTCATGTGTACAAATGAGATATATATGAATGACATTACTTTCGTCCATAAAAAAATTAGGCAAAACGCTATTTCTAGTCAGCATCCCCTCCCCACAACCACCCAAGAACTGTACTGGTTCAGGCTCAGCCTCTAGGTTCTAAATCTTCAAGGTTTTTGGCCCAAACGTGGTCCCTTGGATATTGTCCGACGGCTGTGGTAACTTGCAGCTTTGAAAAGGAACAAGAAATCAGGGGGACATGAGCAGTGTTTCAAGCTGCAAGAAATTGGACCACTAGAACTCGTCTTCCAACAGCATCCCCTCCCTTGGTTGGTCGAGAAGAGATAAGGTTGGAAGCTTGGAAATATAAAACTTACCAATCACATTTTGTGTATCTCTATCTCATAAAGATAGAGAAATAATTTAGGGGGTTAGGTCAACTTCAATCATACAATAATTATATGTACGACTTTCAGATTCAGTGTGAACAATTTGATAAAGGATTTTGATTTCATATTCTCGTATAATAAGATTGTTTAGACTAATTTTAGGCATTATTATAAGTGCCACTTGAGAAAGAAAATTGAGGCAATATGTCACTTCAATTAAAATTTTGTTATAATATTGGGACATTTATGACGAATTTCATCTATTTCTTCCTTTAAAAGATATTACATGTGCTTAGTATGAGATTCTTCAAACGTCAACAAATTCCTCAAAATAGATGAAATTAGGCCATAATCTCTTGTCGGCCTTCAACTAGGCTTCAAACAAAGTCATACATTGCAAGACAATTGTAAATGATGAAAGAAGAATGGCATCTATGGAATAAAAATCTGTCTGTCCGTTGGATAAAATAGTACTAGGGCAATTTTGAGAGTAAGGACTATAGCATGTGATGTGAGTGGAAAAGAAGCTCCATGACTTAAGCATATCTAGCATACATAAACAATGTGAGTCAATATACGTAGAATCTAAAAAGCTTAGACGCAAGATATCTTATCAAAACAATAATAGAAGTCGAGTATAGGGTGGAAGGCTGCACAGGAGAGAGAGATATTCCTGACAGTCAGAGTGCGTGTGGCCCTAGTGCTTCAGTGAATTGGAGGAAGCAATTTGGTTGTTAAAGGGACTAGAAAGGAATTTGACGTTTCCAGATTTATTTGGCTCTATGCATGCAGTGAATGATTTAGAAGAAAAAAGTGTTTGCTTTATCTGAGTGGGGTGAACTTGTTTCTTATCATTTGAAAGGAAAGTTCGAGGACAGATAATTGAAGGTACAAACGTGTTGCGTGCCTGCCCATACTTTTCAGGACCAATAATGGTTCCCAGGAAAATTTACAACCCACAAACTCCAATAGTATTTCTGATTTTTACGATTTGGTTTTTGAGTGAATCTCAACTGCATATTCAGTTTATGAATCAACTTAATCAATACTTCGAATCCTAGTCTCGTATGTGAACATGTAGGTTTACAACAACTTTTCTCTCCTGTTGTGATAGCTAAAATGGCGTTATCTTTAAGGGCGGAACTAATAATGTGATTTAGCCCATAAAAGCTTATTAGTCCACCAAATATAACCTAGTAATTCATTGTCCACTCAACTGTGTATAGGCCTATAATCATCTTATTATATTAATTTGTTTGCTCAATTAAGAGACATAATCCCTAGTAAACATTCACGACTTTAACTCTCTACATTTTCATATGCAATAACAAAATATTTCAATTTTCTCAAGAATCGTAGGGCACAACATGAATAGGTACAGTTTCAATTTTGTTGTTGAACAAATTTTCATTTTGTTAATATGCTTTTTGGTTGCATCTAATATTTGTTAAATGTTAAAGCTTATTGGAAATTAGTCAAATGAGCTATGAACTAGCGTGATTATATTATTTAATTTAAGTGTAAAAATAAAATAAAAAAGATTATAGAAAGACTATAGACGTTGTAAGTAAAAAAAAAATATGATAATTAGATTTTAAGCTAATAACTTTAGCTAGCTTTCTACCCTCCCATTGAAAAATTTCTAATTCCGCCCTTTATAGTATGGGATACAGAACCCCATTGGTTATGTAGTTTCTTAGGTAATAAAGTTTTTATGGTTTTTATTTAATTACATGTTATGATGCTAACTAGTAACTACTACACATTTGTATTATTCGGATTAATAATATAGAATAATCACAGCAACAATTGTTCAACATTCAATTGCATTGGTGGTGGACTTTTCTAGCCGCGGGCATAGTCCTCTTCCTTCTTTATATTTTTTAATCTGGCCAATAAAGCATAGTTTGTCCCTCCATTAACAACTTGAGGACATATATGGTGATGTCGTCTTGTTCACCTCTTTCTTTAGCTTTTGGGTACTATCTGAATTTTTTTTATATTTTTATATATAAGGGATAATCTACTTTAATCTAATTTAAACAACAGGAAAAGGATTCGAACTCAAGTGCATAGTGGCTTGCATATGTTCAGTAGCGGATTCAGGAAATTTTCAGGAAAAAAGAGCAATATTTAAAAGGCTAAAATCTTCAACAACAAAAAAAATTACATATATAGATAGATCATAAATTATCAAGCAAGTCAATTAAAAATATAGGAACAAGCAATACAAATGGATAAAAGGGTCTACTATCCATTAGAGAATTGCATACAAAAACCAGTGAAAAAGTTGGAATTTGAATACTCCAATACTAGTATGGCAAACCATATCATTATAATTTGAAAACACACCTATACCATTATAACTTTAGTGAACTTACATATCTCTCCATAGAAAAAGTGACAACATTTAGAGTCTGGCCATCATGATTTGTTGACATTGCTCTTTATAGTTCATACAGCCACCAATTACAAGAAGAGCCTCCAATTGGTGAAAGACAAGGAATTACAGAATTTCCCAAATTGACTTTAACACAATTGGTGGGCTCAAAATTAGAATGATGGGCCGCAGCCCATTGACTCAACTTTAACACAAGACACTGTTGCTGAAGGACCAAAGGATGAATTTAACACAAGTTAATTTTTAAAACTTTCTAGCTCTCTCTTCTTTCTTCTGTTTATTTTCGCCCTAATATTTCTGTCTATAGTTCTGCTTTGTCTTTGTCCATGATCAATCTGGTATTAGAGAAACTTTACTATACATACATACGGTGCCGAAACTTTACTATACCCATTAAACCAACTCATCGTTAACGCATTCGCAGTGTCTTTATGCCATGTTTCATATGGAGGATTATATTAGACCAGTAAAATGCTTTAATTTCATGTACAATCAACAAGGAATAATATGGGTGTTCTCTTCTAATTTGGATGATTAGGATGAACTATTCATAAGAGGTTGATGCCTAAAATTCATCCCTACTAATCCAATCATTTTCAAGGGAATTAGTGAGGATAAGTTTTAGACATCAATCTCATATAAATAGTTCACCTTAATCCTTTAAGTTAGAAGACAACATGTATATTCTTCCTTAATTGCACATGAAATATAGTCATTTTACTAGTCCAAGCTAGTCCAATCTAACTCTCCATACCAAACATGGCCTCAGAGCATCTCCAATAGCCTCTTCAACCACTTTGGGACGCTCAAATAAGTGAGCCATATAATAAAAAATCTTTCCAACAACTTGTCAAACTTAGTCATCAAAGC